GTAGCTGAATGCCTAACCACTGTGCAACCAGGGTTCTTATACATAAAAAGTCCATTCACATCACTGGTAATGGTTCACACTGACAGCCTGTGCCCCTTGATGTGATACGCTGACAACAGAACACTTCTGGTGCTATCTCATCACACATATATAACCTGAATCTAATCCTGGGGGAAAAACCCAAACCAATAATAAAACAACACAACACAATCTACTGCCTTCCAACTCCTGATGCTACAGAGTAGAACTGCTTCCACAGGGTTTTCTCATATGTAATTTTTACTGAAGACGACAGGCCTTTCTTCCATGGTGCCATCTGGTGGATCCAAACCACTAACCTTTAGATTAGTAGTGGTGCGCAAAGTGTTTACACCGCCCAGGGACCTTAACACCACCACCCAAGAAACTGTGTCTGAAAAATAATTTAAGGACAGGCTATAAAACAACTAGTCTGTACCTTCAAAAGAAGTCCTAGCGGTGCAGTGGTTAAAGTGCTTGGTTGCCAATTGAAAGGTCTGCAGTCACACCTACCAGCCATTCTGTGGGACAAAGATGTGGTAGTGTGCTTCCGTAAAGATTCCAAAAATCCAAACCAAACTCACTGCTGTCGAGCTGATTCCAACTCACAGTGACCCCTCTTGGGTTTCCAAGGCTGTAAATCTTTACAGAAGCAGAATGCTTCATCTTTGTTTCACAGAGCAGCTCGTGGGTTCAAACTACTGACCTTCTTTTGGTTAACAGCCAAGTGCCTTAACCACTGAAAATCCTGAGCAGTGCTACTCTGTCCTACAGGTGGCTATGAGTCAGAATCGACTGGTAACATTCAAACAGCAATGTCATGAATACAAAGAAAAGTCCTAGGTACAGTCCAGGATAAAGGAAACTACAGAGACACGACAGCTGAACGCAATTCACAATCCTGGATGGCCTTTTCTTTTGGGTGTAAAGAACATCATAGTAACAAACAATTAAGTCTCAACAGGCCTATAATTCGGTAACAGTATCATACCCAATATTAATTCTTGATCTTAGTAACTACAATTATGTAATTTCCTTGAGTTTACAAAACACTGCAGTGTGTAGAGCAAAGGGACACACACCTGCAACTTATTTCTGAAGAGTTAGGGTAAGTACATATATGGGGTGGGAGTATGGATGAAGAATGTAGGAGAATTCTTGCAACTTTTTTGTAACTGAAAAATGTCAAAACAAAAACAAAACCACCCAGCAGGGTGAAGCCAGGTAATAGCTTAAGAAATAAGCTTATAAAATACCCTAATTCAGACTTTCTGACAATACCAATATAAAGAAATTTACTTTGTTGATAATTGTGGAAAAGATCCTACAAAGAAAATTACTCTTCTTTTTATTGTGATTTGGGTGAAAGTTTACAGAGCAAAATGCTTTTCTATTCAACAATTCCTACACATTTTAGGACACTGATTGCAATTTCCACAATGCAACAGCATTCTTCCCATTTCCTGTGTTATTACTTCCATTCATCCTTACCTATCCATTCCTGCCCACTGAGCTTTATCCCAGGGCAAATGCTGCCCTTCTGATCTCATATGGTTGTCACTGTTCCCCTTACATGCCTGTCTATTGTTTAGCTGAAAGCTGAGCAATGGAGGCGAGTTCAGTTCCAGCCCTAACGGGTAACAAGGGCCACAGTTTCTAGGTGCTAAACAAATTACAGATATAAAACTATTCTGGAAGAATGCTGAAACGATCTGTTCTTTAAAACAGGTGAAAAAAAGAAAAAAGAAACGGTTTTATTATTAGTTAAAATATTAATAAAATCTGGTGATAAAGCACTTGAAAATCTTTCAATAGAGTTTACAGACTTACCCCTGAAATACCAAAATGTACTCTAAATTCCAGAATGGAATAAATTACGATGAGCACAAAAAACCAGACGGAGCATGTATCGCATGAACTGTTCTACAAAGTCCTAGAAAAGGCAAAGCTAAGCTGTGGGGGTCACAACAAAGGTTGGAGGATAACTAGGACAGGGCATGAGTGATCCTTCTGGGGTGACAGGAATGTTTGTAGCTTGAACCCTACCCAACACCATATGCAAAAAACAATTCTAAATGAATTAAAAACCCTAATGGAGCTCTGGTAGCGTAGTACTTAGGCACTTGACTGCTAACCAGAAGGCTGGTGCTTCAATCCATCAGCCACTCCTCAGAAGGAAGATGGGGCAATCTACTTCCCTAGTGATACTGCCTTGGAAACCTAAGGAGGGGTCACTATGAGTCGGGTCCGACTACGGCACAACGACAACAATGTAAAACTAAAACCACAAACATTAATTCTTGATACAGTATTTTCAAGTTAAAGCAAAGGCAGGCCTCTTTAAACCCAACATAAAATCTAGAAGCTGTAGAGAATAGGTTGATAGCTGTGTATGAAAAATCAGAACCCGAAAGCTCCAAACATCACAAACAAGTCAAATAACATTAAGAAAAAAACATTGGCAACATTTTATAGAGAGAGAGCCCTTATAACGACGTGTCAAAAACAATGCGGCAGAAAAATGGGCAATTCAGAAAGCACAAATGGCCAATTATGAGAAGCCAGCTAATTTATGAGGAAATGCCAATAAAACCTTTACCTGTGGATAAATGCACATCATTACAATGAAACACTTTTCTTTTATACAATAGGAATTTTAGGAAGAGAAATAATATTCAGCGTTTAGTTTAAAAAAATTGGCACTCTTAACACTTCTGGTAGGCATGTTAACAAGCTGAATTAACCAGTATTAACAGTCTATTGAAGAGCAATTTATCACGTTGTTATGTGCCGTTGAGTCCCAAACCCTCCTTGGGTTTCTCAGGCAGTTATCACTATGGAAGTAGATTGCCCAACTTTCCTTCCAAGGAGTGGCTGGTGGGTTTGAACTACCAGCCTTTTGGTTAGCAGCCAAGTGCCTTAGGCACTATGCTACCAGAATCCACAGCTACATTAAAATGCACCATCCTTCGACCTTGGAACTCTCCTTTTTAGTACCTTATGGAAATGTATGTTCTTGTAACCATATAGAAGTATTTCTGGTTACTGGAAGCATTGAAGTCAGAAATGTGAGTGAAAACTGGATTATCACCTCAGCAGTCTAGGAATAAGGAGACTGACTGATGAGCTAAACTGGGATCATTCCCATGGCCAAAAAAAAAAAAAAAAAATTCAAACCCCAACTCATTGCCATCAAGTCAGTTCCGACTCACAGTAACCCCTTTGGGTTTCCAAGGCGATATCTCTACTGAAGCAGATTGCCCAATCTTCCTTCCAAGGAGTGGCTGGTAGGTTTGAACCACTAGCCTTCTGGCTAGCAGTCAAAATGCCTTAGGCACTACACCACCAGAGCTCCCCATTCCCATAGGGGATTATTATTCAGGTGTCAAAAAGAAGGAAGTCTATTTGAGGCACCATGGAAAGATGTCCTCAACATACTGAGTGGAAAAAGAAAATTTTAGAACACTTTGTATAGTTTTTAGGTACCTCCAGGCAATTTTGACTTAGGTCTAGGTGTCAAAGTACAACTGCTCTGCAGGGTTTTCTACAGTAGAAACCCATTTTTTTAAAGGAAAAAGCCCCCACCTTATGTACCAGGTAGGTGGTCACCTCTGTATTTATTTTAAATGACTGTATTCCCACAGAAAAATCTGGAAGCGTATGGCCAAACCTTTAATGGTGGGATGCCTCTTAACTGGGAAAGATGCAATTATACTTTTTACTCAACATGTGTCTGTATTAAAAAAAAAACAACAACAAAAAAAATAACTTAAGCACAAGCATTTCTTTATTAAAAGGAAAAAGAGGGGGAAAAAAAAGTAGAGCTATACAGCTATTTACCCTCACTGTGATGGTCTTTCCCGGAACTGACTGGTTTTATTTCGCATCAATTTTCCAGTATCTTTGCCTTGGCACAGACACTAACTTGGGTAAAGCCAAAAACACACAATGTACTACGGACCACAGCAGTTATTTCATGTCAAAATAGGTCGCGAATGCAGCTACCCCAGGGCTTCCATTAAACCATTTGGTTGACGATGGTTTGGTGCCTGCCTCTCAGATATTTCACATCTAATTCTTCTTCACTGGACAAGTGCAGAGTAATATGAAGATTTCATTTTGTTTTAGGATCTGAGTAAGACAACCTTAAATTGTAGAAGAACCTTCAGGACAGTCCAAAGATCCACTTTTAGCTGGTTCTTTCTTAAAATAGTAACCAAATGTTATAGAATTAAAGAACTCAGTAAATACTGAGGAAGAAAGAAAGAAATATACAGCTATGACAAAACAAGATAACATAAGAGTAAAATCAAAGGATAAGGAACAAGGCCCTAGGAGTGCAGGGAAACTAAAGAGGGACAAACTATCATTTGTAGGATCAGAAGTTGCTTTGGACTCAGATGAGGAAGAGGCATGGGCAGAGAGCAAAGTGAACCATGTGTGGGGGCTGACTGAAGCCCAGTGTATATGGTGTGGGGGGGGGGGGGAAGGAATCGACAGCGAAGGTCATTAAGGCCATATGTTGTTGTTGTTGTTTGCCGTCGAGTTGCCCCGACTCATAGCGACCCCTCCTTGGGTTTCCGAGGCACATGGGAATATGCTTTTACTATGTAGGCAGATTCTGAAACAAAGGTCCGTAAAAGTGCCGTTTGTTTTGGCCAGGTGATATTTAAAAAGGAAGTTATTTTCTGCAAGTCAGAGCAATTAGAAATTCAATCCTAAATATCTGTATTCAAAGAATTTTGAGGCAAGGAAGGGCAGCTCACAAACCTATATAGGAAAATGAAGGAAAGCGTGAACATCCCTACCATCTTCTGTCACTGGGTATCATGGTAACAATATACTGTGGTGGGGATCTCAAAGAACATGCAAAGCCTTATTCACAGCACAGCCCACATGTCCAAGGAAATGAGAATTAGCAAAGCAAGCAGCTTTGAAGAAAGCACTTAACACATCAGGAATGTTTATAAAATCTTTGATACCTTTGCTGGATCTCTTAGATGTTTTCTTGTTTCCTTCAGAGGTAATCTCAATCTCATCAGGATTACCTCCTTCATCTTCAATTGCCTAGAGGGAAAAGAAAGGAAAAGTTGACTAAAATAGCCAGCACACAGACTGACTTTCTGAACGTTCAGTGAGAAGGGGACTGAGACCTGATCACTGGAAATGCCTCTCCTCACCCCTCCATCTGTTATTTTGTGTTGGAGTGAAGACTGTGGAGTCAGCCTATGATCAGAGCTATTTGGTCCGAGGCCAATTTACTCAAGCCCTGTAAGTTTGCTCTCCCTCTGGAACATGGGGTAAAGGATAGTACTTACCCTGAAGGTTGTTGGGAGGCCTCTCTAACCCGTGTAGAAGAGCACTCTACACTAGGCTTATTTTTAAAGACTATTACCACCACAACCTGCTCCTCCTATTCCTGGGACCAAAGGAACTACATTAACTCAAAGGGAAAGACACACTGTCTCATCTCCTGTGACTTCACCCAAAAATGCGTTCTTTACCCTCTTGCCCCATCTTCCTGCCATGCCTGTGTCTGGGATGGTACTATCTGGGGATAGAGTGCTAACGCTCACCGGCCTCCCAGTTTCTACTGCTTGTCAGGTGTGACACTAGACTCCACACACATCACCTCCTCCAATCACAACTGCATTCATGACTGACTCCAAAGATATGCTGCCACTACTAGGTGACCCTGCTTCACATAACATTAAACTATACAGTCTCTCAGCAAGCCTGCCTCCCACACCAGCTCCAGTGCTTCAATCCAAGAGCCCCCACATTCAGCAAAGTGTCTGACACCAAGCAAGCACTTGATTAGTGAAGAACATGTTAATGGTGACTTCCTTATGTTTTAGTGATAACCTTTTCTCTCACTATCCTATCCCGTGAGCACAAGTTTACCTTCAAACTCCAAGTTTTATTTATAGGCAGTTTTAAGGTCTCAAAGGAACCCTGGTGGTGCAGTGGTTAAGTACTCAGTTCCTACCCAAAAAGTCAGCAATTCAAACTCACCAGCTGTTTTCCCTAGGAGATAGATGCTGCAGTCAGCGTCCATAAAGATTTACAGATTTGGAAACCCTATGAGGCAGCTCCACTTTGTCCTATAGGGTCGCTACAAGTCAGAATTGACTTGATGCCAACACATTTTATGCTTTGGTCAAAAGTCTCAAAGATTATCAAGAAGTTTGGGGCTCCACAGTTTAGGATGCCCACAGCTAACTTGGGACCAGGTGCAAAGGAAATCTCTCCTCTCACAAGAGCCAGAAGTAGGAATTGTAGTTCTGCCCTGGTGTCAAGAAAAGCAAACAAGAAAGTCCCTTACCAGTTTCCAGAAAAGTAAATTATACAACACCCTGAATTGTCTGTAGCACCGGAGCAGGGAAGAACTGCCCTATTCAGCCCCTCAGTGTGTCTCCCCTGGGTGCAGTGTTTACATGGTCAAACTTACAGAGATTGTGTGCTGAGTCATCTTCATGTTGTCATTGTTAGCTGCTGTGAGTTCACCGTGACTAGTAGATACCAAAAACAGAAACCCACCACTTCCATCAAGTTAACTCAGACTCATAGCAACCCTATAGGACAGAGTAGAACTCGTGGATGTTATAGTTACTGTCAGGTGCTGTTAGGTGACTTTAGACCCTATGTACAGCAGACTGGACCACTGCCCAGTCCAGAACTCATGGATAAGTCCTGGCAAATTAATTTGTGTGTTCCCTCCAACCTCTTGTTCTTTTGTCATTCTTAGAGAAATAAACCAAGAAAAGGACATTAATTGGGTGACAAAAGTAGGAGAGAGAAATATCCTTTTTGCAGGATAGCAGTATTTAACAGAGAGGGAGAAGGAGGGAGGAATGGATTTGTCCTCTCAAAGATGATAGTGATGGGGGATTCCTGAAGCCACAGCCAGTCTCTCAGCCACTAAACTGACACCAACTTTGCAGAGCACAGGGACTTATGTGCTAACACCTGGGGAGGAGAGGGTAAAATCCCTCAATTTGGCTTTGGTGCTGGGAAGCCCTGGTGTAGGCTAAGAACATGAACCATGTCTTCCCATCCTCTTGGTCAGAGAACTCCCTGCTCTGCATAAAAGAACAAAGGCTAAAGTCAGAAAGGCTGAAGTGACCCAGGACAAGTCAGGTAGGCACGCCTAAACTTTAGCTCCCTCATCAGAAAAACAGGAAATAAGGAGTTGGTAATAAATAAAATCCTGATCCTCAGTTTTCTGGGAGACAGAAGGGTGGAATGAGTCACCAGGCCCACCGCCTGCAGGACAGGGTTGGGGGTAGGTGGTGAGGCTGAGAGATTACCAGCAAAGAAGGAAGTCAAAGGAATGAGGAAAATGCAGGAAGAAGAAGGCTGTTAGGTGCTGGTGAGTCCATTTAGAATCATAGAGACCTCATGTGACATAGTAGGACTTCCCCATAAGGTTTTCTTAGCTGTAATCTTTATGAAAGCAGATCTCCAGGTCTTTCTTACCTGACAGTGCTGGGCGGGTTCAAATCTCCAACCTTTAGTCTGGCAGCCAAGTACTTTACTGTTGCGAGACCAGGCTCCTTACATGGGTAATAAATTAACTTGTGCCATTCATACTGATTTCTCAGAATAAACCATTCAAGATAGGGGTTAAAGCCCCCGTTTTGCAGTTAACAAAATGGTGGCAATAAAAATAGTGGATTATGATGTTGTTGTTATATGCCATTGAGCCAGAGCTGACTCATAGCAACCTGTCCTTGGGTTTTCCAGGCAGTATCACTATGGAAGTAGATTACCCAAAATTCCTTCCAAGGAGTGGCTGGTGGGTTTGAACTGCCAGCCTTTTGGTTAGCAGAATGCCTTAGGCACTACCCTACTACCCTATAGGACAGAGCAGAGCTGGCCGTTTCCAAGGCTGTAAATCTTTGCATAAGCTGACTGCCTCATCTTTCTCCTACAGAGCAGCAGCTGGTGGGTTTGAACCACCGACCTTTTGCTTAGCAGCCGAATCAATGCTTTAACCAATGGTCCACTAGAGCTCCTTGTGAATTACGAAAGCTATCGCTTACCGCTTACACGCACCAGGCAATGTGCCCAGCACGTTCTGGCTCTCTTACTTAATCCTAAAACAAAAGCACCATATCATTTTCTTCTTTGCACGGAAGAAATAGGCTCAAAAGGGGTTAAATATCTTCCTTTCCCAGTATCAGGCCGCAGAGACCTGGCAGAATCCTGAGTCCCTACCTACTGTCTCCCTAGGTTTTCTCTGCTCCTCCCCAAACCTAACCACGTTTTCTATTTGATTGCTACTGTAAATACTAAGGAACCCTGGTCGCGCACAATTTAAGCGATATTGGCTGCTAACTGAAAGGCTGGCGGTTAGAATCCACCCGTGCTCTGCAAAACACAGAGCTGATGATCTGCTCTCTTAAAAATTACAGTTAAGGAAATCCTACCGGGCACTTCTATTCTAACACATGGGGGCGCTATGAGCTGGAATCAACCACACAGTACTCAAGAAATGTAGATAACATTATCCTTCCATTCCCCCCCACATAATGCAGGTAAAAGAGCCCTACTGGTTAAGGTATTCTGCCGCTAACCAAAAGGTCAGCGGTTCGAACCCACCAGCCACTCCTCGGGGTAAAGATGAGCCAGTCGGCCGTGGAAGGTCTACGGGGCAATTCTACTTCATCTATAGGGTTGCGATGAGTCGGAATCGACTCGATGGCAATGGATTTGGTTTGGGTTTTGTTTTTGTGCCGGTAAATCACAAAATTCTTCTTTCTCTGCACATTTCCTTTGTTTACCTTGTAACGCACCCCCCCCCCCTCCGAATATTCCAAGCTCAGAGACCCTAACGGTCAAGGAGCATCTTCCCAAAGGAAAATGGGCCTGGGAGCAAGATGGCCTGGGTTCAAATCCCACCGCCACCCTTTCCGGGCTGTGTGACCTTGGCCGAGTCCCTTAACGAGACGAGGATTTCGGGTTCCCTGGTCTGCTCAGAGAGTAGGATAAGACAATGCGAGAAAAGCCCTCGGCGCAGTGGCTGATACAGAAAACACAAGCCCTCCCCCGATGTCACCCGTCACCACGAGGTGCGGACCGCGACCATTGCTCCCATTCGCGTCGCGTTTTTTTTCCTTCTCTTTTTTCCTGTCCCAATGCGGTGCTGGAATTTGAACCCCGGCCCAACTGGCCTTAAAACGCTCACTCTTGGCTTTTATAACCTCCTATAGGGGCCTAGATACAACCGAGAGGCGCTGCGAAACGCGGGGAGCCGGGCCAGGCCGCAAATGGGGCCGGGGGCGGATTTCGAGGCCAGGGAACAAGTGTGGCGGCCGCGGGGCCTCCCAACCCTCCTCTTGCCCGCCTCCAGCTCTACCTTTTTTAGGCGCTCCATCAAAACGCTCTTGTTGCCGCTGGAGTCCAAATTCCGTTTCTTCAGCTCCGCCCGCAGGTCGATCACCCGTAGATCGCTAAGGCGCCGCGTCCCGGTCTCCGACGAGGCGGAGCTCAGAGCCGCTGCGCCCGCCGCACTCGAATCGCCTAGGCCTGAGAGAGTCTCCGCCATTCCAGGGGCCCTGGCTCCGCCGCCCACTGCACACAGAACCGGGCCGGTCGTATCTCAGCAGCTAGCACAAAATGGCGCCGCCTGAGAGGGAACCGCTCCAGCCGCCCCGGCGCGCCTCGCTTCTGCGCAGGCGTACCTAGCGCGGGGCCGACTCTTTAGGTCGGATCTGCACACGCGCAGTGAAAAATCTTGGGGGGTTGTGCGCAGGCGCATTGCTCCCCGGCAGCCTCCCGCCGCGAATTGCAGAGAGTCATGCGTGGTTCAGTCCTGGCGCTTGCGCGTTGTGGCGGGAAGCGTGCGGTTGGTCAACACGCGAGCGCGCCGGCAGCTAAGAACGCTGGTTGGGGCGGTGCGCATGCGCGGCCGGAAAGCAGGGCGGGAGGAAACGAGTGCGTTTTCCTCTTAGGCGGCGCCATTTTGTGCTCAGAGCCGCTACAGCCGCCGGCGGTGTGGGAAGTAGGTGTCGGAGACAGGAAGAGCGGGATGGCGGAGACTCTGGCAGAGCCGGGCGAGTCGGGCCCTGGCACAGCCGCTGTAGGCTCAAGTGACTCTGAGACTGGAACGCGTCGGTTGAGTGAACTGCGGGTGATCGACTTGCGGGCGGAGTTGAAGAAGCGGAACCTGGACACGGGCGGCAACAAGAGCGCACTGATGGAGCGGCTCAAGAAGGTGAAGCAGCTCAGGGCCCTGGGTGGCGCAGGGGGACGGCGTACGTCCCCGCGGTGCCCTGTCACCGCGGCGCCCCCGGCCCACCCCCGTCGTAGCGACGGCGGCCGGAGCTTTCCGGAACCCGGGGTCCAGGCGGTGTGACCTTGGCCCATCATTCCTTCTCTCTGTGCCCTGGGCCTTCCCTCCTTCCAGCTACTCGCCTCAGGTGCTCAGAAAGCAGGACTTCTCAGCCACCAGGGTGGCCTTTGGTCTATCGGGGCTCGGGATTGAGTCTCAACTCTGTGACCTTGGACAAGTGGCTTGCCCTCTCTCCCTGCGCCTCAGTTTACTCCTGGAGTGTAGGGTCGCTGACCTAACACGGTGTCGGGAGAGTCTTTGAGATCTTACAGAAAAGGGGGCTGCACTTATTCCTGCCCCAGGCCCTTTGCACTTACCCGTGCCTTCAGCTTGAACTGCTTTTCCACACATCTCTTGGCCGGTACTTTCTCGTTTCTGTTCTGTAACACGTCACCTTTCAAAAACACTGCTGTATCTCATTGGTTATCACTGTATCATCGGTTCTTATATTCCATCCCATAGCCCTTAACACACACTTGTTTACATGGGAATCATCTGTCTCCCCCATTACAACAGCTTCTTGAAGGCAGGCACCTTGTCATTTCCACATTGAGTGCCCAGTCCGATGCCAGGCCCACGGAGCGAAGCTCTCTGAAATACCTGTTGAGTGAAACCACCAACCTTCCACCTACCTTGGCAGTTTATTATTATTCTTCCCTGGAGGTCAGAGACGGCTTGTTGAACACCACAAAGCCCTTCACCCATGCAGGGTCAAGTTCAGCCCCTCTGTTACTGTCTGTTCTGGCATTAACTTAAAGTTAACAGGTTGCACACTCCCATTTTGGAACTGATTATTGACCTGTATGCTGGCTGGCACTCTAGCTCACACACCCCTGCAGCATGCCCCTCTCCCCCAGATTTGGGCACTGAGCCCAGCGAGAACCCAAGTTGTGCTGGGTTCATCCTGTGCCTTTTGAATTTATAATCCAGGTAGCAGAACCATAGTTGTGTTGTGCAAAGAAGGAACTGTGTTTACTAAGCTTGTCACTTAGAAAGACTAGGGTTTAATAATGTCGTAAACCTTGTTTTTTCTGAACAGGCGGTTAAGGAAGAAGGGCAAGATCCTGATGAAATTGACATACAATTAGAAGTTGCCAGCAAGAAGACAATAAAGAAGGGTGTTAAAGGTATCTGCTCATACTTATTGTTGTTGGAAGTTTGACTGTTTACAGAACTTGTTGGCAGCTGCCGTTGAGTGGATTCTGACTCATAGCAACCCCGTGTGACAGAGTAGAACTGCCCCATAGGGGTTTCCTAGGGAGAAGGAGCCGGAGTGGTACAGTGGTTAAATGCTTGGCCACTGACCAAAAGGATGCCAGATCAAGCTCACTAGAGGCTCCCTGGCAAAGAAGATCTGGGTATCTGCTCCTATAAAGGTTACAATGTGGGAAACCTTATGGGATGGTTCTACTCTATGCTATGGGGTCACTGTGAGTCAGAATCAACTTGATGGCACACAACAACAGCCTTTTTCCCACAGAGCCACTGGGTGGGTTCAGACCACCAACCTTTCAGTAGTTGAGTGCTTAACCATTCCATCACTGGGGCTGAATGCCTTAGGCATTGGAGAACCGGTGGTTAGCACTTTCTGTCCTCTGTGCCTGGAGGAGGGACCTCTTTGGCATTCAGCGCCCCTGATGTAAGAAGCAGGCTTGCTCTTCATCATCTAACAGGTGGCTATGCCAGGGGTGCTGGGGGAATGGAAAAATGCACAGGTGTCAAGCAATTGGTCTTATAGGGATGAAAAAACACCCAGAGGAAGCACATTCGTCAAGCTGCCCCAACTGCTCTGACCAGCCACATGCCCCTGCTTGGCTTCCTCCTCAGTTAAAAAATGACACCAACTCAAGACTGAATAATGTTGCTGTTAGGTGCTGTTGAATTGATTCTGATTCACAGCGATCCCATGTGACAGTAGAAGTGCTCCATAGGGTTTTCTAGGCTATCATCTGTACAGAAATAGATTGCCAGGTCTTTTTCCCTCAGATCTGCTGGGTGTGTTCCAACCGCCAGCCTTTTGCTTAGTATCCAAGCACTTCACCATTGTGTCACCAGGGCTCCTTCCAGACTGGATAGAACCAGCTTTGTTGCTTGTTGGAGTATTTGCACCAAATCAGTATCTTAAACATTTAGTGCCTTTTTTAACTGTAGTGAGTATATAAATAAAAATGTTTGCCATTTCAACATTTTTTATTTGCAGTAAAATTCAGAAACAATTCAGTGGATTTTTTTTTATTATTTAATCGAATTTACATAAATTCACTTAAAACGTACAAGTGAGTGATTTTTAGCATATTCACAAGGATATACCACTGTCACCTCTATCTAATTTCAGAACATCTTTATCAGCCCAGAAGAAACCTCAAACCTATTAAGCAGTCACTCCCCATGTCACCTCTTCCAGCCCTAGACAACCACTAATTTATTATATGTCCATGGATTTTTTATTCTGGACATTTCATTAGAATGGAATCATGTAACATGACCTTTTCTGTCTGGCTTCTTTCACTCAGCATAATGTTTTAAGGTTTGTCTGTGTTGTAGCATGTATCAGTGCTTCATTCCTTTTTATAGCTGATGCCAGTGTATTTTTGGAAGTATTTAATTTCCTTCAACTTGGGCACCAAGACTCTCTCGACTAGGTGATTATCATCTTCATCAGTATATTTTCAGTGGTAAGAACAATAGAATGCAAAGCTCTTGCATGATAGCCTTGTTTTTAAAAGGTGCCACACAAATTCTCACAGCTGTCCAAGTCCCCGTGTTCATCTGAGGAAGTGCTGCATTTCAGACAACGCAGGGCAGCTGCTTAGACAGTAGAGAGAAAACAAAGTATAGCAAAGCAACATTTTTAACATCTTTCCGTAGAAGGAAACTTCCACAATGTATTGAGTTGTTTAAACTGGAGCCTGTATTTTAAAAAGTTAGATTTTAAGATGTAGGTTACATGAGGGGTGTAAGTTTTAATTTAATTTTAAAACATTGGTACATTTACAATGGTCATAGAACTGTCCATATTTTAGCTATAAGCTCTGACTATCAAAATGATAGTGAATGTGAGAGTTCGGTTTACAGTAGGAAACATAAAAGTACCTCTTGTGGTTAGATGTGAAATTATCTGAAAGTCTGGTTTTCAGTAGTTGTGATATGACTTAAAAATTCAGTTTAAGGTGTTTTTTTTTTTTTTTTTGGTAGCTGTTCAAGGAGTTCTGGTGGCCTAGTGCCTAAGGCATTTGACTGCTACCAGAAGGTTGGCGGTTCAGCCCACCAGCCATTCCGTGGAAGGAAGACTAGGCAATTTACTTCCATAAAGGTGTACATCTCAGAAACCCAAAGGGGGTTGCTGAGAGTCAGAATCGACTTGATGGCAGTGAATTTGATGGGTTTTTTTTGTGTGTGTGTGTGTAGCTGCTTATTTAAAACTGTGAGGTTTAAGACTTCACTGACAAAAATGTTCGTGGCCCCCTCATAGGGATCTTCCCATCAGAAGAAAGACTAAACTTGTCTGGATTAAAACGTAGGTCAAATCAAAACTCTTTGGACAACTTTGGAGTTGGTGTTTATTTGAAAAGCTTTAAAAAGTTATTTACGCTGATATAAATAGAATGTTTGTAGGCCTGGCTCTTGCAAGGATAAGAGGATCTAGTTCCGGCCCCTTCCTTTTCCAAAGAAGTAACTAAGCCCTGGGGGCAGTGGTAGAATTCTCGCCTTTCATGCAGGAGACCCAGGTTTGATCCTGGCGGTGTACCTCATGTACAGCCACCACCCATCTGTCAGTGGAGGCTTAGGGGTTGCTACAATGCTGAACAAGTTTAGCAGGGCTTCCAGACTAATACAGAGTAGGAAGAAAGGCCTGCCTGTCTATTTTCAAAAACGAGCCAACGAAAACCCCATGGATCCCCATAGTCTGATCTATAACTAATCAGGGGATTAGAGCTGGACTGGGCAGCATTTTGTTTCATTGTGCACGGGGGCACCATGAGTCAGGAGTGACTCGATGGCAGCTAATGACCACTACCACCAGGGAGGCCCCTGAGAGAGGTGGTCTACAAGGCACCTATAGGTCTGCATCTTCCATGCTGAGCTGGTGACATTCTTTGGAAGTGTCTGGGCATTTGGTTATTTTTAAAAGGTAGATCCTCCTTGTTATGTAAGAGTATATAAAATTAACCAAGTGTTTTTTGGATACTACAACCAAGTTGGACTAATTCTGAGGATTCTTAACTAACTGTCTTCTTTCAAAAAGTTTAAGAACT